ACATGTAGCCCAGCATAACACAACAAAAGGATATATACTGCTATGTATAGGTAATTTATGTAGTGCGTGTTTCCCCCCTGCAGCAAATTGTGGCACGTACTTCCTGTTGTCTTTCAGTGGCTGGTGGTCATAGAACCAGTCCAGCACAGGGGCATCCTCCTCTGGATCCAGCTCAAGCTGAATCGCTTCCAGGGGCTCCACATCCAGGATGTTATCAGCATAATCCAGAGGAGGTTCTTCATCATCAAACGGGGGGAATCTCATCCTCTTGAAGTGACGCCTGTCCCTCTTCTCTCGCCTCATCATAATCCACATCGACCTGGCAGAAACCCAGAGAACGTTAAACATTGCTTTTATCGCAGATGCACAAGTGTTTGCTCACAAGTTCCCACCAGGGCGAAGGAAGAAGGCACTTACCCCCACTGAGCAATGTACACCGGCTCTATGACCCAAGGAATCTCATTCACAAAAGAGATGGCACCTGTGATATGGTACAAGACTGGAACATCTCTGATTTGCTCCCAGGGCATAGGCATGTTCTCCAAGAGCTTCAGAACAGCATGAGGCATGTACTTCAGAGCACTACAATAAGAAATCAAGGAAAATCAGGGTTGGAAGGGATCTCAAGAGAATAGCCACTGATCTGCCGCAATTACCTCTACACCTTTCACTCCTGAAAACTGATCATCTAACCTGTTCATAAAGGCCTCCAGTCACAAATCCACAAACTACTTTTTCGATCCTTGCAGCTTCATGCATTGGACTACAAAAAAGTTTTCTACTGATTTAGCTTCTGAGAGATTGTCACACATTAAGAATATTACATATAAAAAATAAAAATTTCAAATGCATTTCTAGAGTTTTTGTGGCTAATGGTAAGTTAGTGCAACAGATCATGATCTGCATGAGACAGCCCTCTGAACCCAAACAGCAAAGAAGCACTCACGATGCTTTTTAACCTTGCAAAAAATGTAAGCTGGCTACTTCATACTCTCCCCCAACTTCTAAAGTAATGTGTTATCCAGAGTAATGTTTTTCTCAAAAGTTGAAAGCAACAACTTATTTTGCTTATCTCTTCATGCATTGCTACGCTAGTGCAATTGGTTATCCCATTCTCCTCGAGCTACTATGCTGCTTTCTATGCACAACTGACACGGAAAGCCCTTTGGAGAAGGGGCTCTCCCTCCAACGACCAACGAGGAACTTTGACAGGGGCAGCAGAAAACGACTCAGCTCGACTCCCCCGTGTCATGCAGCAGGGGGGGTCCCTTACCCCAGGTAGACGCGCTTGTCGTGACGGAACTTCCTATTGGTCATGTCGCCGTGGTCGCGGATGATCTTCCGGACATGCTCGGGGGGCATGTCCTCCTTCTGCGCGTCCACGAAGCCGAATTTCCTCTTCTCCGCATAGCGCTTGGCCTGCAGCTGCTGCCACTTGCGAGCTGCAGGGACAGAGAGGGGGCGCGGGCAGGGCCGGTCCCCC